TTTTTTTTGTCATAAACAGGGTACCCCTTTCAGAATCCCAGCGGAACACCCCTACCCAAATTCTGGCGGAGTACCCCCCCGGGAAATCAGGCTGACAGACATATAATAACATGAAACTCAGAGCATGGAAAATTACTGACGCTTTGAGGGATAATGAGTGGATCTTTATCTTACAAGGTCGAATCAATTATGACCCCATTTAAACCACATTTTAGTTCAGTTATCAACACCGAACATTCTAGCTTATGGTAGAAATGTTCATGGAATGCGGTCCTTTGTTGAACCCAAAGGGTACATCGGGGTGTGAAAAGACTCCTCCTGAGCTGGTCTTATTGGTTCACGCCCGAACATTTTGAACATTGATATTTATATCCAAACGCCTGTGGTTAGGAACAATCGCACGATTTTTAAAAAATAGGAAACACTACCGTTGAACGACTCGCAGGGAGTCCTTCGTGCAACTAGCCCATGAGCATGTTGTTGTTATATGTGCCCCCTGGACAGCACGTATACTTTAAAACTAACTTCGTTCAGATACATGCACAGACCCCTAGTCCTCGAATGATCTGAACAGCAAATTAAATTACAGGTCCTTATCCTCAAAGAAGCCGAAGTCAACTTAAATCAAATATTAATACAAGATATATAGTTATTAATCTCCCTTTGCTTATACAACAAGGCTCATGTCAGTAAGGATTAAGCGGTGGAAACAATATTCGAATACGGTAGGTGTAAAGTACAGTAACTGCATGTGACTGTTAATTATGTAATAATTAAATACAAAGCACCCGCGTTAATTGTTATCCTATCATTACAATACGTTCTATGACTCGAATACAAATGCGCTCTGTCGTGTGAGGCATTTATTATTACACGGTGACATTTACGTCGCGTTTCTTAATCGCTTAGTATTATTTCCCATCGCTAATAGCAATAAAAACATCTATATTTAACACTACTGTGTTGACTGCATCCATGCCTTTGTACATCAGTGTTTAGCAAGAGATATATAACAGTGTTTATTCGCGAGTATAATGCGTTAAGTGGTCAAGCTTGATGTCTATGATAAGATCGTCAAACGGTATGTAACAATATCACAAGTTTCAAGATAGGATGGTGCAATCTCTCTATTGGCTGCTTCCATCTGCTATCAATACTTTTGTGTCTCTAATGTCAATATTTACTTATTTATTGTAAACTTTTCATAACATAGAAGCGAATCAAGAGGAATACTATTAAGGAGAAGAAGTACAAGAAGGAGTCCATGCGCTGAAAACACGAACAATTACTCTTTTTTCCAAAAGCATTCAATAACGAGTCTTTTCTACAATACGGGATTTCCTCGTCTTGTTCATGAAGCTTCAAATCGAATTGAAATGAGCGATATCATGCAGCATTTTGAAAAACCAAGTTACCGAAATGTCGACTCCAACACAGCTATCGTTTTGTCTCAGGAAAATCGAGACACGAATAGCTGTAGCATCTTGGAGAACAAGGAAGCGCAGTCCAACTCCGTGGAAGATCACAGAACCGAAAAATCGAGTTTTCAGTCGGCTTGGTCAAGGAATATGCTCAACATCTTACGCGCAAAACTTAACAACTTCCGTGGCTTCCAAGGTAAGAAAAAAAATATAAATAAGAGGCTCAAAAACCTAGTGGTATTTGATTCTTATTAATTTGTAAGTCTTAGGTGAGTCAAGAACTGGAGAACCTATGACTGTATCAATAGATACACACCTACGCAAGCTCCCAAAGCGGAGAAGTCAATGTACACAGAGCTAAGATTATCGATCGTGAATCACCAAACACTTTCATCAATCGGTTCATCGCAGCATCGCATTGTGGTTTCATTTGTTATTATTCGATTAGACTGCCAAATGCTACCATGACACAGCGTTTAATATACTTTTCTTGTAGAAATTGTTCAGGCATAGGTCGTAAGACAATTCTTTACCTCAAGGACTGAAAAATGGGGAAATTCTAGTTGATCTCATTTTCTTTTGTACACATTTTTGCCGATCGTGTAGGTTAGGTACCTATATGACTTACTTATCGAAGATCTTCCAAGATTTTAAATTCTGAAATTTCATTCGTCATTCAAATAGAGCAAACAGAAAATACGGCTGCGAAAGGGTAAATATATTACCCAAAGAAAACGAAAACTTAGAAAGTTACCGCTAATTCCTAAAAAGCTTGATGACATCCATTTCTTCATGGGAGGCCTAGAACAAAGACTGCTTGGAATGTCGGTGTTATGCTAGAAGAGCCAAAGGTACCACTAGAATCCTGCATTTTTTCCAGTATCTTTAAAATGTAGTTCTTGATTATCATTTCTGCTTTATCTACCAAATTAACATCGACGAAGGAATATATATCCAAGCTTTCTTTGTCCTTACTCTGCATGGTGACCGTTTTCTCAGCAGGTCTTTGATCGAAATCCTTTTTACTTTCGAATACGGTCTTTGCAGTATTTTTATGTTTTTTTTCCAAGAAAAATTCTATTTTTAATACCAGCTGAATCAATGGTCGAAAATATTTTATCAATACTGTGTTCGACACTCCCATTAGCGTCAAAATCAGCGATTTTTTCCTTATTAAAATGCGAATGTCTTGCTTAGCGAATTATAAATATCAAGAGAGAATTCTTTTCGTATTCAAGCAGTGAGCGCCAAAAACGTTACCTATTTTCTTGAAGAAAGGCTGTTGTACAAGGCTATAATCTTGTTATTCAGAAAGTTTAACTTGTTAGTGGAGATGACCGATGAAAGTGGAATCAAGGTGTTAACCCAAAGCAAAACTTTTATTCGAAAATGAGGTTTAGGCCTTCATTTGCTTATTTCCCATGTATTTTCTTTATGAAAGAGGCTGACAAATTAAGCAACACTTTAAAACTCCATTGGGATAGCTGTTTCTCTTCCAAAACGAAAACGTAAACAAGAGCAAACGGACACTTTCATGTACTGGATAAGATACCGATTGCTTTGCTCGGATAGACGCCATGCAAAGTTAGCCGTAACGTTTGCCGTTTAATACTATAAGGCAGATTATGAGATTCCCGTTTTTCCTTCTCGCAAACGGCAAACGTGACCACGTTTTCATCGTTTCCCTACATTTCACTTTACCTTTTGCAAACCTTCTCGACAAAGACAAGTATTCTTTTGTTTATCTACTGCTTGGAGATTTTTGAGATCCTTTTCAATACAAACGTTTCACGTTTGCTGTAAACGAGAATCTTAAACCATCTTACAGACCGCTTTTCAGGATATAAACGAATTGATTACGACAGAACATGCCAAAGTTTTCGCGTGGAAGATGATGACGAAAACGTAGCAAATTAAAAATGCAGAAGAAAAAGTGCGTTGAATCTCACTTTAATCAGAAGAGAGAAGTTTTTTTCTTCTCATTTTGCAAGAAAGAACTGTCTTGAGGTTTCAAAGCACCTCAAATAGGCGAAGCTTATGGAAAAACTGCATGGAATATTAAATCCGCTGTACGTGCAAAGTAAACATGCAAAAAAGTTTCTATTCCTGGACCAAAACTAATATCAACTTTTGTCTTTTCTGTTGACCCTGATATTTCAATATTTACTGATTACTGACAGAATGTCAATACAACTGAAACTGTGACCGGCATATATTAGCAAAGTTCAGTGCTCAATGTTACTAAACGGTGTTTGCAGTGTGCTACAAAGCTTTTTGAAGATTTCTCGAATGGAGGATTTACGAGAGATACTTAAATTATTGCTAATAGAAAACCTAAGCGGTTTATGCTTCAACTCTCTATACAACGGAATCATCTTCAAACGGCAAACTAATTCTAGATAAATGTTGTCACTTTTCAAAACATCTACTCTATTTTATATAGAACGCCAAGCGTTTGAAGTACGACGTTTATTAGTGATTTTTAGATGATAATATATTTTGATTAATGCCCAATAATTCTAAACCTCTGGTTTCGAATAATTTAAGAACAATCCGCATAGTCGTGAAAATCAAGTTGGGGTGTTAATCGCATTAGAAAAATCCTGGATCATGAATCAAAACTTTGTGTATAAAAGGCGGATCCCTTCTTGTCAGATGGAATTAAAAACGTCAAGGAAAATCAATGGATCAGAGTTAATGGCATCTTTTTCGATTTCGAGTATTGCACAAGGAGAATACCATAATTTTCTCTGATGTCAGTTGGTTGATATATAGGGGTTCATAACATACTAGCTCATCTATTATTGACGTGTGCCGTTTGGTTACGACAAATGATTGAGTGCGTAGCTGAAAATCCTATAGAAAACACTAGAAGCTATACTTCTCTTTTATATTAATTTTCCATTCATTTTTAGGCTATTTCTAATAATAAGAATGATCTGAAACAAATTTAATCAAATCAAAATGCACGAATATTTCAGTGATAATAGAAAGTCTAGAACATATCTGAACTTTAGGTTTTGCAGGTGGGTACGCTGTGTCTTCTATTGTTACGAGTAAGCAGTCAATCAAATATTGTTCATGACATGTATGACAGTGTCCCCAGCTGCAAGGACGTGCGATTTCCATGAAAACCTGCTTTCTATTTAACTGGAGCTGTTTCCTAGGCAATTTTCCTTGTAAATCTCATTAATCAGTTCTGCTGCTAAACAAGCGCTAGCTACGCAGAAAAAAAACCTCTTGTCATTCTCTTGATCATAAGATCATTTGTTTGAGTTGTATCCGAGTCGTGTATCTTCTCATGCGCAACCATTAAACGAAGACATGATACTCTAGAAAATGGGTCTTTCTTGGTGCAGCAAGCTTTATTGTATTCTGGGTTAGGGTTATTGTTTTGCAGGATATTGTTTAGCTCCAAACTCATTGTTCTCGGCTATTGCTTTATTGTCTTCATGGCTGAGGTGCCCTGCAACACCAAGAAAGGGCCCATGTAGTTCTGTAATGGGAAAACATTACACCCAACGGTGTATGAGAGGTGTATTACATTAAAATGTAATAATAATGATATTAATAATAATTTGAAGTATCTATATTGTGCATGTTCCATAGGTAGATGCCCACATGCGCCTTACAAAATGTTACCTAATTTACGATATAGCTTAAAACTATAATCTAAATAATGATAACATACTCATTTCTAGGCGCGCGTAAAATAGCAAACGAGTGACTCGTTATTTTAATTGAACGCTGATATATTTTCTTTAAATGTAACCGTATTTGTATACACAAGCAGTATTGAAGGTTTCCTCTCGGGACAAATGCTGAGAAATAATCTAGTCTTTTCGATAATGACTGATGCTATATTTAGCTCATTCTCAAGGCATTCCAAGGCAAGTAGCAGATACACAGGTAATCAGTGCCACAAACTCCGACAGATCCCGCTTCCAAAGTCACACAACTAGTTTTAGCACCAGATTTCTTGGTTACTCCATGAGATGAGAAGGGAGGACAGATTGAAACAGTCCCACTAGCATGGAAATGTAGAGCGCGTGTTCGCTATGCAAGGCTTTTTCATGATCAGAGGTACTCTAGTTTTGGCATTTTTGACTCGCTTCAGGTTCGTCAGAGTACGATTGCAAACCATTCATCGTTGACGGTTGCCGTGTGGGCACGATCCCACCATTTGTCCTACCCCACCTGGAGAACTACCCAGCTGTATTCAAACTCGTAAAGTCAGAAGACAACTGCATTGAGCACGTCACATTTGCCCCAAAGCTCAAGACGTTTGATGAACGGTCCAAGAAGATTGAAGAAGTGCTGCAGGAGTTTCGACAAAAGGACTTGTTTGTAACCCTTAAAGGGTGGAGAAATGAGGTAAATGACATAGCTAATGAATGTAAGTCATTTGGGTTGAAAGCAAGACTTCCTGTGTATGCACTATATAGTACTGTCCGAGTGAAGTTCAGATAGTGCATGTAAGCAATCATTTGCGCAGAAAGTAAGGTTTCTTGTGCACTGAAGTACTGTTCTCAGTAGCAAAGTTTAGATAGTGTATGTTAAGTCTTGTAACTATTTGCGCTGAAAGCAAAGCTGCTTGTATACTGAAGTACTGTCCGAGTGAATCTTTAAGCTGTAAAAGACCCTGTTACACGTTGAAACGTTTATCAGAACTTTCGTGCAACAGAATTACGTGACAAGTTTCACGGGGTTGTTACATGGCGCAATTTCGTTCTGAAACTTGTTTCCAACACAAGTTTTGGTTGCGCGAATAGAACAACTTTTTACTCGTTCAACAAAAAGTTCTCGAACAAGTGTGAGAACAAATTTTCACCGTGTAACAAAAGCGCGTGCTTATAATTTTTTTTCAGCTAAAAGTTTCAACGTGCATGTGATTATCCGATGAGTGAACATTGTTTTCACATGGCAAAGGACTTTGTCAAATTTTTATTTGTATTTTATTATCTCGACAACAGAGTTTCGCTGTTTCATCAGCATTTAATCAGAAGAGGTTATTCAAAATCGAAAGATCAGCTGCATGTGAGTATAAAACTGCTACACATTTTAGTGTTCAAGTATATCATTTTCATGTTCATCATCAACCAAGACAAAAATAGAAATAGAAACAGTGACAACAACAACAACAACAACAACAAATTCCAGCAATGAATATTAAAGATAAGAGATTACTTAAGTGCGCGCGTACGGTTTTTATTCACGAACGAGCGAGTATATTATTAATCAGCCCAATAAAGTGAAAATTAATGATCAACCTTTGCGGCCTCTTTGCAAACACATTTTGGCCATGCGCAACCCTAGAGGGCAGCTGAGAACAAGAACAGAGGGAGTTTTTTGGTAGAATATTATAAAAGTAGAGTGCGCATGACCAATATGATGGCCGCGGCAGGTATGTAATATATGACGACCCAATGGTTATTGGTAGGAGAAGCGGCAATAAGCTATGGCCAACTTGTGAGTGATATTAGGCCCTATTATTATTTGTCATGATTGATTTTGCCTTAATTCCAGGTTTGTTTGGAACCACACAATATGGTGTACATGTCAACGGATATTTCAAAGCCAAGAGTAATGGCATGTTATACATGTGGATAGCCAGACGAAGTCCAATGAAACCAACTGGACCAGGAAAACTCGACCAGATAGTAAGTCATCTTACATGATGTCTACTCCATTTTAATTTAACAATTTTAAGTAAACTTTTCCTGATCGAGATCTGCACCAGCCTGATATAAAACTTCCGCATGGTCTCTAGTGGACGAAATCGTTTTCTTTTTCGAATTCTTTCATATTCTTTATCAATATTTTAATATTTTCTTAAAAGATACCGACTGACTAAATCACACAGAAATCTATATGATGCTAAATTTAAAACGGATTCCTCGCCCAATCTTATCACTGATATATCCAAACAAATCTTTCGAAAGATAAGAACGAGGGAAGAAAAAAGTCACAATAAAGGAGTGTAAAGCAAATGCGCAGCAAAAATGCTAATCTATAGGCGGATATCAAAAGTCAGATATTTTTCTCTATTTCTCTACGAATCTTCCTAAGCAACAACAAAAATAAAAATAATAAATAATTAAAAAAAATAAAAAAAATAAAAGAAAGAAAGAAAGAAAGAAAAAGATAGAATTATAGTAAGAATATGCAGCCCGTACCGTATGATGTATTATAATACATATCATGGTCGTAATAACTAATTAATCTATTTGTATTTTATTAGGCAGCTGGTGGGATCACCTGGCGATCGAGTATTACCGAAACACTATTCAAGGAATGTAAAGAAGAGGCATCAATCCCAGAGTACCTTGTGCAGAGAGCGGTTCCCGCTGGCGCGCTCAGGTAACAACCAAACCCTTGTTTTTGAGCTTCGTTGTTATCGCGCGCAAAATATATCCGGTAATTATTTGCCATACTTAAGTTCGTAAAGTCAGAAACCATTGCCTGCTAGACTCTAGTCTTCTGCGCAAACGTACTTAGGGACGTCACGTCGTCAGGCAACGAGAACCTTTACGTAAAGACTAAGGGCGTTACTAAGGAGGTTTTGAACAGCTAGCGCAATATATTGAGCACTTAACCTTATTGTACTTCTGTTATTCAGTTTCATATTTGAAGACAACAGAGGGATATTCCCTGGAGTGCAGTTTGTCTACGATATTTGCCTACCTGAAGATTTTAAACCCAAAGTTAATGATGGCGAAGTCAGTGAATTCTACTGCTGGCCGATTGAAAAGGTATGACTTCTTGTTTAGGTGCGTGAGATACTAGTGATAACTAAAGACATTAATAATGTTTTTAATGAATTACTATGCAGGTTAAAGAGAAAATTGCCACTAAGGAATTTAAACCCAACTGCGCACTAGTGGTTCTTGACTTCTTGATTCGTCATGGAGAAATAAACCCACAAACAGGTATGTATTGTAAAACTCCACTCCACTCCACTCCACTCCACTCCACTCCACTCCACTCCACTCCACTCCACTCCACTCCACTCCACTC